GCATGCAAATCATGGATCATTTGATTGGAGATCTTATTTAATTATTCAACCAAGTGGCCATCTTGGAGAAGACTCAATACAAGCTGCCTACTGTACAATATGCGTAAGCAACTGTTACAATATTCAACTAATAATGAGTTACACAAAAAGATGAAAACTAAGACAATGTGTCTTTGGAGTATACATGAATTATCTGGCTGAAGACTGAACATTGTATTTTCATAATGATGTTTGCCTTCAGTTTGACTTTGTGTAACATATGCAGGAAGATAAGCTATAGACATTAAAAAGTGTGCATTAATGTCTTGATGGCTGCATTGCATTACATATATAGCATACTTAATGCAAGAGTAGCTCATAAACCATCTCCTCAGACACATTCAGGTTTGCTGTTCATTTTATGAAACCTTGAATCTCAGGAAAAAAAGTAGTTAGCTGTGACAATGAGCCACAATTACAATCATGTGGAAGGAGGCCAAGGATTTCAAGTAGGGAAGTAAATTAAATGAAAATTTAGAGTTGCCTGAAATAGTTTGCAGAAAAACAAAATGAGCTGTATTTAACATTCAGGCACAATGCTGAAAAGTGACAATTGCTTATCTCCATGGAGATCAATAATGGCTGCAGGATCATTGTGTAAAGTGTCTGCAGGTTTAATGCAGATAGGATGTCATTATTATTTTCTTTCTCCTAATGACCATCATTATGCATGGACACTGATTGAATTCCATTTGTTACCTACGTTTGAGCCTGAGTGGAATAATTACCATTTAAGTATCTCCATTAAAATTCATGCACGGATGTTCATACTCAGACCTTTTTTTTTTTTTTTTTAAATAACTAAAATATTCTTTGAATGCAAAAATCATTGGATAAAACCCAGCCCTGCTTTAATACTTCAAGTCTAATTACATGTGAGTGTTATTAAAGCATGTCTTCTCTTTTAGTTTGTCTCTCTTTTTTTTAAATGATGGCAAAAGAAAAGTAACAACCGGTTGCTGCTCAGATGCTATCAATGCAGCACACTGTTAATATTTAATTAAAATGGATCTGCTGGTAAGTGTGATCAATATCCAGCACCCTGTCTAAATTGCTTTTTCAACCTCTTGTGTCACATACAAAATAAAAATGTTTTCATAGTTAAATACATTACATTTTTTTTCTCCACATGATAAAGGGTTATTGTGCTGCATTAAGATATTAGTAGTCCTTTTCTGCTGTCTACACTTCACATTGGTGTGATTGCTGACCGTTAAAAACTTGGGCGACAGCTTAAGATGTGATTTCTCCTTCCCAAAACAACCCCGTCATAGGTCTATAAGCCTGTTTGTTTATCCAGTGGTGCATGAATTCAGCACGAACGAGAACATGTCACTTCTTGTTTCTTGTTTACTGGTGGTCATCCTGTGTGTATAGTCACCCAAGTGGAAGTACCTATGTTTATGTTGCAGGTAAATAAGGCAGCCTCTTCCCTAATACAGCCATCTTCTGTAAATACACAGCTGTGGCTGAACGGTGAGCCAGTGGAGGAGAACGGAGAGGGGATTTGGCCACACCTAATCAATCACTGACAGATTACTGCTAAATCCACTTCCATACACATTAAAGAGGGACAAATGCAGAATTGCAACTGAACAAGTTCTAGTTTTAAGCCAACAGTGGGACTTCCTGGTGATTTATCAAAGTCACTGCTGCTGAGCAGCATGCCTGTGTGATTGTAGTTCACAGCAGACAGAACTGAGGCGCAGCACTGAAAGGAGTGTTTATGCCCTCAGCTGTGGCACTGTCAGCCTTGTGGAATTTACTGTAAATCACATTGCTTTTATTGCAAGATTTAGTAGCTTATCCTCTGTGGGCTCTATTCACTTCAAGCTTGTCCCTATTAGGATTTTAGCCCTAGTCTATACAGGGACCCGGATACACATCTAGAAATAATGTGGGAAATCAAGCCTGTGATTTTGCCCTTTTTGCACATCTTTCTCTCTATAATAGTTTTTGCTCTTTTGTAGTAAAAATGTTTTATTGGTGTGACTAGACCACAGTGTGGTAAGAATCTGTGTTTGCATTATTTCTACTCAGAGAGCTCTATTCCTGATGAGAATCACTGCCTCTGATAGCCCAGAGATACAGTGCAGCATCTCGGCAAATTATGTTGTTTCCAGCATTATTCCATGAAAAGCCCCGAAATCTGATTTGCTTACATTGCGTGATGATAGAAAATATTAACACAGTTTGGAGAAAGGAAACCAAATTACTTTTCACTGCTAGTGGAATTACTCAATATATATATATATATATATATATATATCTATATATTTTACGGTGTAAGATTGATTCTACAAGCTGTTTTTATGACACAATGTTTAACAACAATCACAGTGGAGATGAGTCAATAGTTCTACAAGCCACTGATCAGGGGAATAAAATCTCCTTTGTTACATCTAGATGCATGCTCCTGTGAGAAATGGCTCAATGCAGCTGGTTCCTCCGAAGTCAGTGTTTCATGGCAGAAACAATAAACGCCCGGCAACATCGCTGAAGTGATCACACATGACATAAGAGTCTGTAGGCAGAAGGTCAAAAAACAGGCAGTCACGTGCCATGTAAACCCCAAACATCATTCTCAGGAAAAGAACAATTCCACTCTGTGTGTGTGTGTGTGTGTGTCTATCAAACACTGATTTCTCATTACAGGTGCAATAAACGTAGAAATATTTTTGATATTCATCAAGACAAATGTGAATCTGTTGTTTTGTTTTTTAAATTCATCAACGAATTAATTTTGTCAATCAGTTTTGAATCTTTTCAGACATTCATTTACAAATGATGTAATCTGAAATTTAGATCTGAAATTGCCCGACACTAAAATCATAGCAACTTTTTATTTCCTCGAGGTTTGATTTGTGTCAAGGAGGATTCAAGTGTGTGATGGACATGAACCGTGATCTCTATAGCTGTATGTGCGGGTGTCTGCATGATGTGTGTATTGACGTGCCGTAGCAAGAGTTCAGGGAGGCAGCTGAGCAAAATAATTTAGAATGTCCTGCCTGCTGACACAAGGACAAAGGCACAGACTGAACATGCCCATATGAGGAAGGAGACAATGGACGTGGCTACCTGGAAATGCACTGCTGTTGTTTTCACCGTGACCTCCACAGCACACATTTTCACAGGCTGTTCCTACAAGCGTGGACATTCACTTCTGGTCGAGCCAGCTGCGTATGAACAGCACATTATTCCACGATGAGCCCTAGCATCCTCATGTAATTAGCAGCAGGGGTTGATGAAATGTTAGTATTTTTTTTTAATTTAAAGAAGCACTGCCAACAGGGACAGTAGCAGTGAATGAAACTGGAGTGCATTCGTTTAAATTGTCATTGTCCAAAGTAGCAGTGGCTACTTCATGTCCTGCCTTTTGGGTAGGATTTCTCCAAAGAGCTCATGCAGTTGGAATTAGCATGGTGCAGTCAAGGGAGTACTGAAGGCTGAATCAATGCATCACTCCGAGGGCCTTGGGTATGGATATGAGAGGGCATAATGGGACTTTTGTTGCCGATTCTCATATCATATGTCGAACGAGGGTCTTCGTGCAACACTTCCCCAAAGGAGGAGAAATACCCCCCCCCCCCCTTTTCACCCCCCTTTCAAGGCCATGTACAGATAACAGAGAGGGGCTGGGGAATAACCTGCAAAAGTGTGAGTCAATCAGCGAACGAAATAAAGGTTATTTATTTAATTTATTACATTTTCAGGACAAAATCCATGTGTTTGAAATGTTGGATTCGTTGCTTTCTTGCTGAGAATGATCAATACCGTCGATGAGAAGATCAATTTAGCATTTATTGGATATATATGAAGCTACAGCTAGTTGCTGGTGAGCTTAGCCTAAAGACTGGAAACAGTTAGCTTCTGCAATGTTGAAACCAAATAGGTGAACTTATTGCGACATGTTTAACTATTGCTTTGACATCTTTTGTTACCACGGGCATAGGTGTCTTGCTGCCGGTGTGCTTTAAAATGCGCTAATATAATTTGACAGTTTGCGTAATCCAGTTGAAAATCATATAGACTACATTTTAAGCACTTGAGGATCCAATCATCACTAAAGAGTATATAATGCAAGAGAGCTAAAGATGTCAAATTGACATTCAACATGTGTTGAAGAACGACTCTTTTTAGTGTCCACTATGTACCAGGTCAGCCTGGCAAACGTACCGAGGATCCCCAACTTTTCCCACTCGCTGTTATCACACGGTACTGAGCTCTGCTCACACTGCATACTACGGTGGTGCAGTTGCGCACGCAAAACATAGGAAGTGGGAGAGCGAATGAAAAGAATCGGTCCCCCCAACACTTAGCTAACTGTTAACTAGTAGCCTTAAGATGACAAGGCATCTAATTTTTGTTTTTAATGTATATGTAAACTTGTCACCCAACTGAGCCACAACTTAACCGTCTGCACACACATCATGTCTGCTCCAATACTCAAACAAATGGAGTTACAGCCCTACTCACAAGAATATACGTATGCAACTCTGACCCCAATGGTGAAAGCTCGCAAGCAGAGAAAAATACAATGCAGGAAAATTGGGAAGATATGTAAAAGCCTGTTCTTGACAGATATATAACAGAAGCAATATTCAACAATGTATATAAAAGCTGTCCAACCCTTAATAACAACACATCTTGTTTACAGATGAATAGAGAGAAATGTGTCCTCCAGACTCTCTTACAAAAAAAATGCACATGATGCAGTGCCAAGCAGTGCAGGTAGGCAATACAAGGCAGAATAAGGCAGTCCCCAGTTTAGTGCGTGCAGACAGTATGTATACAATTAGGCTAAATTGTTAATAGCCTACATCAAATAGCCTCGAGCAAAATGTCGTCATGATATGCTACTTGTGAAGCGCTGCTTATTAAGGCTGATTCTCTTTGAATTTGGCTCCCGCTGCACAGATCATGCGCAGTGTGCAGCGTGCTGCCTTCAGTCAGCGGAGCAGCTGTCCAGGGTTTGGAATTCCAACATGGCAGAGGCTGTGGTCAGTCTTCTCCTCACTAACTTGGAATGGTTTCAAATCGCGAGCGGCCGCGCTTAACCTCAGTGAGCCATTCATCTGCGCACTCACCGAATCGATGGTACTATAAACCCTGACGCTGCCCTGGCACCTACACAGGTAAGTCGTATCCTGTCTATCAGCGATGTTGTCAATTCAAAGAGAAACGGAGCAGCCCTGTACGCGCAACAAAAAAAAAAAACGCTCGCTGAGGGACGGTGTCGCGCATCACAGATCTGCAGCGCAGTCTGTGGCCAGTCATCCTGCGTTTTGTCATCGCTTTGGAGCACACTAAATAAACGCTTTGAAGTTTCGGGATTAGCGCTAGTTTGCGATGAATGTTTTATTCAGCCGTTGTTTTCCTCTCCGTAGTTTGTTACTTAAAGGCTCTGCACCCAGTCTCTTTAATAACTTTCCTGCGACGAGAAGTTTTTGCATGTCTGCCTGAATAAAACTTACCGCGATAACCGCAGGCGGGAGGTTAATAGATGGGTTGTCATTGCGCACTTAGTGGAACAACTGCTGGCAAGTAATCTATTTTAAAAGTAAAGGGAGGGGGGGGGCATCACGCTGGTTTAGCTGCTTCCCCTAATAGGCGTCATGAAGAATGTGTGTTTTATGTCATCTACAGCCTCTCACATGCTTCCTATTCTCTCGTTTCAACTCGCGCAAGAAGTGACAGGCTCCAGCCGAGCCTGTGTGGTTTTCTGCGCGTCTCCGTCCAGGGCTGTTTTTTTTTTATTATTTCATTTCACTCGCATGTTCCGTTTCCCTTTGGTTTGAAATTGTCCTTAATTACACGACCTAGATAAGTACCTGAGGAAAGAACAAGGGACCGTGCGCTTTTGAAACTTGTGAAATCCGATAGCTGAGGAAAAAAGTGGCTGTAATGAGAAGCAACCTTTGGAATTCCTCCTCGTGAAAATTCCGTTTCTGCTGTTTTTCCCTCTCCTCTTGTTTTTAGGCTTGAAGACATGATCACTAGCACCAGTATTTATGGTATGTTCATTTTGTAATTATCATTAATATTATTGTTATTATGTCATATGTGTCATAGTCCATTTGAAAAGAGGCTGTTATTGCACTGATGTAATTGTTTCTTTGTGCATGTGTGGGTCATCTTCAAAAGTTTACTTAATTTAGGTTATTATAAGAATTGAGCATAGTCCAGAGATTAGGGCACATTATGTGATGCATTTCATACAAGTGGCATTATCAATTAGGCTCACAGTATCTTGTAAAGGTTGAAGAATGTGCACCCATTTTGAAATGGTTTGGTATCTGTCACTGACATATTTTTTGTTTAACTTTTTCTTTGTCATTGCACTGCTTTCATGTTTTTTGCATGCAGATCAATATGATTATTTTTGTAATGAATTTGAAGGGTAACACATTTCCATTAAGAGATCACATACAATCCCTACTTTTAGGAAACATTTTTGTGTGTGTTGAGACGAGTCTGCAATGTCATTTAGCCATACATTAAATATTGCCCTTAAAATATTTCTTCGGAGTTATTACCATGACAGCTGCAAAATGTCATTTATTTTAAAATTCATGATGTGACTGAAGCTCAGGATCTCTTGCAAATGTTTAGAAAACTATTACCTCGAGTGAAATGACGCTTGATATGAAAACTGCATGAATTTAGCGTCACAGTTATTACCAGTTGCATCACAAACGATAGTGTTCAATTATTTTAAATATGAATTAAGTAGATAGCACAACACAAATACATGTAATATAGCAATGCTACAATATGTTGACAATATCATTTTTGTAAAGGTAATTATTTAAACACAATTTATAATGACTTTGAGGAAAACTCACAATTTGCCTTTTTTTAATGTTTTATTTATGAAGATGTCATGCACTTCTATTTGCTTGTCACACTGTGTAACAATTCACTAGTGAAACTTCATCAAAATTGCTCACAGATGACATCAAAGGCAGGGTCAGAAATAGCTGCTATTCATGTTCCAGTGCAAATGGTTTGCGACAAGCCAGAAGCCAGTAGATGGATCTGAGCATGGACACAAAGTCAGGAGGAGTAACAAGTTGTGTGCTGTCTCTCTTTTGAAAAACACTTTGTCCTAAGCGAACCGTGTCCACTTCCATAGAACAATCTACTTAATTGTGTTCGCACATTTCATTTGCATGTTTTCCTTTGAGAGGAAATTAACATCATCAGCAGTGAGCTGAAGTATGTTTTCATTCCTCTTCAAAAAAATAACAGCATTGCAGCATCCGTCACTCAGTGGGAAAAAGAATGTACATTACCACCACGTTCATTATGTTTGAGTGTTCAGTTGTAATGTGTTTTGGTAAAGTGGATATTAGATTTTTGGTCCAATTTTTACCACCACCTCCCACCTCCACCACCACTACTTGTATGCGTGGTGTTCTTTTTATTTTTCATTACAGAATAACTTTAATTTTAGCAGTTCAGATATGGATACGTAGCAGGGTTTCAAATAGTTTGAAGCAATTCATTCTATTTAAATCTGTATCCACAGCTTGCAGGTACTCACACTCTGAAATATCCTGTGCAGTCTGTTTGAATGTTCAATTTTCATATTTTCTTAAATAGTTCAATACCAATTGAGACTTCTACAAATCACATAAATGCAATTGTTTTCATGCTGCAGTATGTTCGCACCTAATTTAAGAGGAAGATTTTTACAGTATAAGAGAGGTTTATCTTGAAAAATGATTTTGCCTCTGCACAGCAAAAACAATCCTCTCGTATTCATCAAACTACTATTTCAGATTTTTATCTTGAACATCCTAATTATCAAGTATAACCTGAGGATAATTATTCGAGTTCAAACCCTGGCAGGGTTCTATGTCTGTGCTCCTGCAGTGTGCTGGGTGATTCTTGCAGGTCCTTACTTAACCCCAGACACCTCCGATGTGCATGGGAAGAAGCTGACAGCTCTGTTTATTTCTGATTGCACTTATGATAGCAATCTAAGCTGTTGCTTGACGTGAATCTCTGAGCTAAATTTGACGACAGATGCTGCCCCCCCCCCCCCCCCCGCCCGTTTTCATCACCCTCTTTACAAGTTGTCACACATGTTCACACTTTTAAAAGTGTCTATAAATACTAACAAGGAGTTGTGTGAAGTAAACCATAGTAAATAATTACATTCAGCACTTTCCCCAGTGAAAAAGTGATATCAAATTATACTTTTTATATTTAGTTGTGTTCAATTCTCAATGGCGTAGACTGCAGTCAGTGCACCCTCCGCAATGTGACAGACGAAAAAAAATTACATTTCCAAAATAATTTCGAAATTTCTTAATCTTTTTAAAAATGCTGCTTTACAAGCCATTTATTTACTGTGTACTGACTGAACCACATAAATCAAATAAGGTTTCCAGAAAATCCTTGTTGGTGTTATCTGCTGTAATGACCATTATAACATCCTTGATTCATCGTTAGGTTAATCACAGTTGTGACAAATAACGCAAAGAAAAACTCATCATCATTATCTGCATCTTATGCAATCTTTAACTTGATGGTGTGAAGCTTCTGCGTGAAGCAATCTAGCTGCTCTAAATGTTCTGTCCATAATCGAAAGTGTGAAACACTATTACGACAGGACCGACACTTTATATACAGCATGCGCACTAATGATGACAATTAAAGCCATCTCCTAAATACCTTGAGCTGATTCTGTGTAAACAACCCCTGGGATGTCTGCAACGCTGTCTGTAAAATGATGAAATATTAATCCTTACAGATGGATCTATTTGTCAGTAACTATGACAAATCCCATTCAGCACCTTGACAATATTTCTTTACGAGATCAGTCCAGGATTGTCATCTTATGGCAAATATGTTAAGGGGTGTCTTTCCTATTTTTCCTATAAAAAGCGAGGGAGTCCCTAATGGAGTAAGATGCTAGCAGAAGGGACAAAAACATTCCAATCTTTCTTCTTCTAAGTATTCTATGTCTTCCTGCCGGCCTATCCTCTCTTCCTCCCCCCGTCTTTCTCTCGCTCTCTTGTATCCACATCTCTGTCGTTTCCCTCATGGCAGCTTGCTATGATGTCTTTGTGTGTTTCTCTCTCTACGCTGACAATTCTTGCAGTGATCTAAGTTGGACTGCATTAGAAAGTGAAGGCAGCTGTCTGTTGCTATACTGAGGGACGTGTTTGCTCTACTGCAAAGATGAAGGACCATGAATCCTTGACATCCTCCCTTTCTCTCCCCTCCTCCTCCTCCTTCTACCATCTCATTTAGACACAGCGACTGTCTGCTCAGACTTGTTTTTTTCCCCTCTGAGTGACAGCATATGGCATGGGCATTTTCTAAAATGCATGCGCCTACCATTGGCTGCTTGTACTTACCCTTCGTATGTCTCCGAGCTGCAGGCCTGTCGTGTTGTTTGTTGCTCTAATTCAAACAAAATACTTACAGTTTAATTTAGTTTAACACAGATTATACTGGATTAAAAAGAAAACACAGGTTGCATACATATGGATGCATGGATATTTTGTCTTACAGTTTCACTGCAGCTCAGAATTCAAATCACTACAGAGATTTCTCTGGTTGTATTTTAGCATATACTTTATCATATTAAATGTTTTTAAGGATTATGTGCAAGTACATGTCTTTGTATGTGATTGAGAGTGTGCACGTACAGTATGTGTGTGTTTGCCTGTCTGTTTCTCTTTGTGCATGTTTTTTTTTTTCCAGAGCCAGTTTGAGGGAGGACACAATGCCCTTTTCTCTGTCTATTCTTTCTTTTTTTTTTTTTTAGAAACTAATCTTCCACACATACATCCTGTTATGTTTTTTACGATCCATACCATAATGCCCAATGTGCTTATAGAGCTTAGGGTTCACTAAATGACTGATTATAACACAAACACGCTCATAAGTCATGGTGTAAGGTTGATTTATTCAGGCCATATATGCCAGGCATATTATTTACAAGGAATATGGCATTTGTTGCTTTAAACTCCTTGTTCTCCTCATTTCCAACACATTGAAACAGAGTCTTTGTTTCATCTCCTTCACACGAGGTGTCTGTGCACTCATAAGGAGACGAGGCAGCTCCGCGCCTGTTGGGGATTGGCAGGAATAGACAATCCCCAGGTGTACTAAACTAGGTTTAGCACTAAGGCTTTTAATCTGGACTTGTAGGAGATTCATGTGCATTCATAGATTTGCCTCTGTAATTATCATACCCCCAGTGGCAGCCAGAGAGACATTTGCCTAAATCACTGATGTCCTCATTACACTGTTTACATTTTAATTAGACATGCTAAATTCCTGATTTTTTTAATGGCCAAAAAGATTGGAGGTCTTCCTATCATTTCTCTAGACATGTTGTGGATGATGCCTATTTATTGCCTGGCTGTAAGTCGCAGTAGTGCGTGCATCTCACTATAAAAAAAAGAGAATTTCCAGAGTTTTTAATTAATGTATCATTCATAGGTTGTTTTATGAACAGCATCTGAATGGAATGGCAGTAGACAGCTCTAGGACGATAGTCTGAACATGGTATTATCCATAAGAAATCATACAACATTATGACTGAATCTGTTTTCATATCTTTAAATTATGTCTTTGGCCAGACTATTTATAAGGCACTGAATATCCAACCCCCAAGGACTATGATTAACAACATCTAAAATCCCATGACTTTTGAGAATAGCCGGCACTTTGAGTTGTCATTGTGTGCCCGAGTACTGTTGCTTATCATTAAATAACCTTGGTGAAGAGAGGTGTTTTTTCCTGTCCTTCTTCCAAGGTGTTTTTTTTTTTTTATTGCATGCTGTTGGGGAGTTTCGTATTGTGAGAGAGCAGCAAGCCTTTCACAAGAGGATAAGAGAAAACTCAATATTTTACTGTATTGAAATTCCTCTTGTGTTCCCACAAAACAGTGTCTGACTAATCTGGCCATCGAGGCCGCTATTCTAGCTGGACTGAAAACCCATGCAACAAGAGAACCTTTAAGTACTTTTACACCACACCACATTTGTCA